AATGCTTTTTAAGGAACCAAAACACACCACCATTCATCGTAGCTTGATAAGAGAAATCATGTATGTGGACTACAATCCCTATGGCTTGAAAATTGTATTGAGTTGTGATGGGAGTACATCAGGCTTGTCAGCAGCTGGGTGGCAGCAAGGTTTACATTTTGTGACTTTTAATTGGTGCATCAATTCCTACATGTATTGCATTGACTGCTGCTTTGTGTCTCAGATCAGCGGCCCAAGTCTCCATTTTTAACCTTTGCCGCCAAACGTAGCAGTGTACAAAAAGACACATGAACAGTATGTACACTGTAACAGTAGTATTGTACACAAATGTTTAATTGGGCTTTGAATCTGAACTCCAGACACCCAGTAATAAGCATGCACACACACATGAACCCCATGATGTTAATCAATTTAATGTTTAAAAAAATATATTTTCAGTACGTTAATTACTTAAAAAATCCCATGGCACCTTGTGGTTGCTCATGAGCATGCTTTCAACTTATCCAGAGATTGTGGTGGACCGTAGTGTGCACCAAAATCAACTTCTGCTCAGGGCCACAAAAAGGCATGCACTGGCCCTGGTTATATGCATTGATTTCATCAGCTTTTTACTTTTATAGAATGTCTCACTTTTTAATTAGTTCAGTCTTATACTTCATTTTGACACGTAAAACTTCAAGAACGCTAAAAAAAACATGTAGCCAATAATAAAGATAACTCTAGCCAATTATCCCTAGAGCATATCAAGTACTGAAAGTTAGAATTTCAGAAACTCTATAATTATACCATAAACAGCTGTTGTTTTTTTAGGATGTCCTTACAAGCTCAGGCTATGGAGGAATATGACGCATAGGGTCAGGAGCTTTAAGTGTTTACTGTGTGCTGCATTCATGCACTTGATGAAGAACTTAAATACTTTTATTTTTTCTCTGCTGTATGCTTGAAAAAGTTGGATACCCCCCCCAGGTTACTGTTTTTCTGTGTAAATTAGATGACTCATTCAGCAATAAGCATTTATGAAATGTATTCTTATAAACGTACAACGGTTCCTAATTATACATATCTGTATGTAATTGTGGGAAGTGTGGAGGCTTAAGGGTAATATTTAAAGGCTGCGATTGTTAAAGCTTAACTCTGGGCAAAACAAAAAACTTTTAATTTGTTAAAAAAAAAGGAGCCCTAGCCAGTGTATAAAATAAAAAGCTTCTATGGCTGCAATAATCACCTCCTCTCAGGCACGGCCCCCCCCCAAAATACCTATTGTCTGCCAAAAGATGTCCTCAGACAACCAGTGTCATTTATTTACTATGACTCAGGACCTATTATAGGTTTAGGGTCATGGACCCGCACCCTAAGGGGCCATAACCAAATCACCCTGCACTCATAGTGTAATTATGCACTAATTTCATCACTTCATCTCCTTCCTAAAATGCTAGTTAACTGGTTGCCATGCTTATCCAAAAGCTTCTGTCCCGGGACAAGAAAAGTCACAAGTCCTGATCTGAATACTTGTTCTGAGTATGTGACATTGGGGCTCTAGGTTAAGCTCCCAATCATGACACTCTCTGCAACATGGCAGCATACATACTTTGCTTTCAACCATGTTTTGTCCCATTAAAACTTTGGAAAGAGCTATCCAATAGGGAATGCGTCACTGCTCTAAGTTATTAACACGAGCCACAGGACATGGAGATAATCAGTTTTTTGCAGCACAAGGAGCATTCTGATAGGAGCAGAAGACAGAGTGACAGAGATGAGCTCATCAGTGTGCTGCTTCTCCTATCACTGTCTAGTCACAGGTTGGGGGTGCTGAGTGAAGAGACCCATAGCTGTTATCGAACTGCAGCAGAAGAAAAATTAGGTATACGTTTACATATACGTGTTTTATCTGTGCATTTACATGTCTGCCTGGAGTTAAACTTTGAGATAAAACATCAGGCTAATAGATGAATATGCAACTGAAAGACATAAAGGGCTGCATATATAGGTTGGGCGGATGCCATTTCGGATGGCACTAGCACCCCTAGATGGCGCTGATGATTAATTCCTCTAGGAGCAAGTTTTATATATGAATCCCCTAGATTAAAAGTTTACTTTTTACCTGCCAAACAACATGTAATTCTGTACAGTCAGTCTTGTGATTTACACACATTTCCTACACTTCATTGGCACACAAAGATTCTGCAAATCATCTTTTCTGGATTTGCAGTACAGCCTTCTATGTTACTTCTCGGCCAGCAGCCTCCAGGTTTCTTTAGTCTCTAACTATATATATATATATATATATACACACACACACACATCTATATACACTATATACTATATGTAAAGGAGATGTTACAGAGATTGCACAATCAGAGTACGACCCATGTGGCCAGCCTAAATCTTCCGCATTCTAATCAAAACATGAAAAAAACCTCTTGACTGGTCTTCTACTTTAAACTCGTATTATTTCTTGCCGAGCACATAAGAACTTTAAATTGCAAAACCTCTCAGTTGTGACTTATTAATGAAAGTGCGCCATTTGAAGGAAATCAAGACGGGGAGAATGATCCAGGCTAGATTACAGTCATATGAGTTCTTTATAACTGCAATTGTCTTTAACCTGTATATTAAGACGCTGAATAGAAAACTTTCTGCATTAAAGTGGAAGGAAAACAGTAAGATTTTGCTCATTCCAACATGCGGGCTGGAGTCCATTCTGTACGGTGGCACTGTTGCCTTTTTTTTTTACTTGATTGAAATGACACCAAATGCAATTCAATTCTTTTATATGCTCCGCTGCAGTGCGGTGACCAATGGGGACTTTAGGGGAGCCCGGTGGTTTGTGAAAGAAATGCGTCATGTCAACATTTTTACGCAACGCAATGCAACCCACCTCAAGGCAGCTTTGTGGTGTGAAAAGGGCACAGAGAAAACAATTGTTCTCTCTGTGCCTTGACATTGAGCCTACGATCATCTGTGCAGAACAACGCAGCTCAACTGAACTGGTTTGAATAAGCCCTTAAATATACCTGATAGTTATATGTTGATTTGCTAGCTTCCGCTGGGCTCCGATGCAAGAAATGGACCCGGCAACATTAATAAATGTTTCTTTAAAGGGGAACTTTACCCACCGATTTAATGTCTACAAATAAAGTTACTTTCAAGGTACGCCAAGTTTCAAGGTTGGCAATGTGCTTATTTGAGCTCTCGACCAAACTTTCAAGCCTTTAAATGTGGTCATAGCTGATCACATGTGCAGTAACATGGCAACTGCAATCCAAGTAGAGGCCAAGATGGCACCTTCCTTGGCTGTAAGGGATAGGAGGTTGTAGTCCCACTTTATTCTGTAAAGCAGGGGTGGGTAAACTCCAGCCCCCCAGCTGTGGTGGAACTACAAATCCCATGAGGCATTGCAGGATTCTCACAGCCACAGGCATGACTCCTAAAGACAGATGCATGATGTGATTTGTAGTTTTAACACAGCTAGAAGGCCAGAGCTTGCCTACTACTGCTGCAAAGTGACAGGTTCTATTGATAAAAACATCCCTCCTATCTGCTGATACTTGCAGCACTTCTTCTCATGCTAGAGTCTTTGGCAATACCCAGGACTTCCAGGTATGGTAGAGCATGTGACCTTCTCCCCAGCCTCCCAAGATGCAGTGAGCAGCCAATCGCCAAGCCCATATACTGTCATGTGAGCGTGAAGGGAAAGTTATATTCCCTGTGTAAGCTCTGACACAGATCAGCATGTATCGTACTGGGGGTGTGCGAGGAAGGTAGGTATTGGCTGAGGAAGGGGGATCAAGAGCAATTGGTACTTGTCCCGAGTAGGCAAACTGATGAATTCACTTTAATTGTTAAGGATGTAATCATATTGGTCACAGCACAATCCACCAATTAATTTATTCATTTATACAATTCTCTCATTTATTTGTTTGTTTTATGTAACTGCCCCATTGAACCCATGACAACCGATGAGAATTCATTGTCTCCTGATCTGAACCTTAACTCTTGCTTGCAGTAGGTCAACCCCTCGCACTGCAAGAGTTAAGTGCCTGTTTTATCTAGGGAGCTAAAATAACAAAGTTATACTCACCTGAACTACGACCCTGGCTGCCTCGTAGACCGCCCTTTAGCATGTCTCCTCCTCAGCTCCAGCCACTATAGTGACATACCATTGCTGAACATGGAACATGATGACTCACAGGACCATACAAAGCTGGAGCGGAGGGGGAAAGTTGTAACAAATGGTTCCTTATGGAGTGAGGCATGCACGTAGCACATAGTAGCTCACAGTAGAGATCAATCACACGTATTTGGAGAATTGTGCAACCATTAGCTATTGATTGCTACTACATCCTTATTGCATGTCTCACTCCATAGGAAGCAATTTGTCCCAAATGTGTAGCGTTTGTTCACCACTACTGGTAATTTATCTGGAGCGTGTTTGGTGATGTCATCAAACCTCTCTCTAGTGCACACAAGGGAAGAGATTCCCCCTGGACCTTTAGACAAAGTCTCCAGCTTGTCAAGAATCACATTTTTGAAATCTGCTATTTAGATGTGACACAGAGCAGCACAGGAACACTTACAACGTGTATTAGATCAAAATGAACAAAAACTTTTTCAAAATGGCCAGCAAGGTGATACCACAAAGATTATTTACAGGCCCGGCACTACCATATAGGCAGGTCAAGCGATAATTAAAGTGATAAAAAGTAAAAGATAATATGTTTAAAAAAATAAAGAAATTAACAAATAATTAGAAAAAAAATGATAACAACTAAAAAAGTGAAAGAGAATCAAATAAATCAAAATGTAAAAAAATAAATAAAAATTAAAAAAGTGTGTGGGAGAAGGGGGGAGGGGGGTGCGGAGGAGGGGGGCGCAAAAATGCTCTTTCACCTGTGTAGGCAACAATCCTTGTACCGGCCCTGATTATTTATGAAAACAATTTCCGTTCTTAGAATGAAGTGAGGCAGCACATATCACTGATGTGAAGCACATCTACTTACTTCCTTGTATCCAAACACTATCCGACCGTCGTTGATTAAGGTGGCCTGGAATGTGAAGCTTCCAAGGCTGAAATTCTCTTGTAAGTGAACGTGATCCCATTGGACTACTAGTGCCGTGCCTGCAAAATAAAACCAAAATATTAGAAAGACCTTTGTATATACGATGAATCATCAGTTGAAGTCAAATCGTTTTACAATTCTGGCCAGAGCTGGGACATAATGGAGCCTCTCTCTGGTTTTTATTACTGTCTGGAGAGTCCTCCCCTCACCTCATGCACTGGTAGGTTTGGCACCTTTTGGTCCATGGAAAATTGAATGGCGAAGGAGTGCTGTTATAAAATGTATACGGCATTATGACATAACCAATGTGTCATAATGAGCATGTGATGTAAAAAAGAGCCAAAGATTATTTTATGTTGTGAATACAATCCAATTAGTGTTAAAGGTGTTGTAAATTCCCAGCATATACTATCCTGTTATAACATCAGAGATGTAATAGGAATACATGCTAGAGTTGTTTTTGATAACCTCTCTTAAAAAAATCTCTTTTTTGTAGTGAGCACTGCCTTCCGTCTGCCCATCACTTTCACCATCTTCCTGGATTCCCAGTGTGCTTTGTATCTCTTTCCCCGCTGCTTGATGTGATGCCATCTCAATTTATCAACACTACATATCCCATCATGCATTGCTTCCAGAAAGTAATGATAATGTTACATTGTTTAGACATTGAGTTATAGGTCAGAAGGTAGACTCTGTGAGAGTGGTGACAGAGCTCCAAGCTCGCTCCCGTGATTAACTACAATCTCACATTTAGTTAGTGGCTACTTTACAACACACATAGGGACCATGGGGAACAAAATCAGCGACCCTCTAGAAGGAAGGACAGTGTCAGCACCAATTCAGAGATGATTTGAGGATCTACAGCCGAGTGATACACAAATAGGATACATTTTTGTTAATAGTTAGGGTACTTGAATGTATTTTTAAGGATTTAACTTCTGAGTTTAGTGTCACTTTTATCCAACTCCAATAATGGATAACTGTGAGTAAATATTAAAGGGCGAAATTTCATGCCAAAGAATCCCCTACACAAAGGGTAAGCAGTCTTCCTAATACGGTACTAGTATTTTCTCTTTAGATATAAAAGGTTACACAGCAGTCATCCCAAAACCACATTGACCCATTTTGCACAAACACGCTTACTCATAAGACCACATTTCTATCACTAAGCTTGCTGAATTCTGTAGATTCTTCGATAAACTTATGCTAAAGCTTAACCGCTTATTGACCGCCCGTTGTGTATAAATGGACAGACATTGACTGTTCCTGCTCAGCACCGTACCTGTAACCCCCTCTCTCACTAAGCCAAAACCCTCCCACCTACCAGTAATCCATCCTGATAGGCTTTTGTTTCCCCTTATCTTGTGACGTCAGATATATCTCACCTAATCTCCCGCTCAAGGTCCTTCACCGCTACTGTTATTTCTCGATGGGGGACATTGAATCAAGCAATTTGATGATGCCTAAGAGTACCGGTCCCCTTCACTCCCCCCCACAGATGTCCTCTTCTGGATCCTGACAGGATCCTGGCCAATGGACATCCAATAGGAAGTGTCTCCATGTCATGTAGGCACTGATGTGGACACTTAAAGAAGGACCCAACCAAGTAGTAACCAGAAGAGGTGAAAACCCGGGGCTGTGGTGTCTCGTGACTGCAGCTTATGGTAGATATGGATTTGTTTTAACCTAGAGATCAGATAGTGGGGCGTGGAAGGGGTGGATGGGATGGAGTGAAACATATCCTTCAGTTGGGCTTTAACGGAATGGGATGTCTCAGCATTCAGAGAACAGAAACATGTAACAATCTGTAACGAACTTTGCTAAACTCTTGCGCCATGACACTTACCCGAAGAGGGTTTTTCCCCTCAATAAAAGTAGAGTTTCACTTTAACTCTTGCGGCAATAGGACACCCTGAGTTTGCATTTGGAAGAAAATATTCTGATAAGTACAAAAAAAGTCACAGTTTTGCAAATAGGGTTTTAATAATCCCCTTACAGGCTTGAGCTTCTTTTCCCTTCAGTGTGTTAGAAAGACATTTTGTAGGTCGTTAGCCGATGAAACACAGAGCTATTATCTATAGACTTCATTAAGTAAGCTATTACTAGTATACCATTCTTTGTTACAATTGCTTCCAGATCAATGTGTTTGTCTTTTGTTTAAAGCACCAGAAGCAATGGTTAGCTTCTGCTTATTATTTAGGTTATAATGGCATTTCTATCTCAATGGCTCTTTTGCCTCACAGCCAAAGTAATGTGTTCAGTACTGAATGACAGCGATTTACTAAATGGTGTTTCATTTGCTTGATAATGTTACACATTGAATACTGTGTATGCAATATACAATGAAAGGCCCAACAATTCATTTTGCTTGTGGATTATCAAAGACTGAGCAGAAATCTCATAAAAATATATCTAAAGCCAGGGACGAGACTACAGATCATGGGCTCCATAACATATTTCTGATGTGGCCCCGTAGCATCCCCACTACTGTCACGGCTCCAAACACAAAGCATGTCAAAATCAAGGAGAGGCAGCAGGGGAGCTGTGAGCATAGTCAATACATTACTGGAGACCAGTTCTGTGGACAGAAGTTGTTACGGAATAGGGGGCATTAGTGCAGACAATTAACTTTTTCCAGCTAACCACTCTGGGGGGAATTTATCAATGGAGCAGACAAAATCTGGAGCAGTTGTGCTTGACAACCAATCAGCTGCTCTCTTCAGTGTGTTCAGTTAAGATTTGAAAATAAAAGAGAGAAGCTGATTGGTTGCCGTGCACAGCTGCTCCAGATTTTGTCTGCTCCACTTTTGATAAATTCCCTTCTTTGTTCTCAGTAGCTCACAAGTCTTTTTCAGCATCTCAGATCTCAGAGCCTACCACCTACCACCACCACAGCACATGAGTGCTGAAAGAGGGAGTCTAGTAGTAAGTAAAAAATAAGAGTTGTAGTTTTAATAAAAAAGACCATCACAGTATTTTAAATTTTGACATAATTGTTAGGCTGAGGAGACACTCTGGGAACTTTTATAGCCTAAGGAAGTCTGTTAGGCATACAGGGTTAATTTCAGTGCTGGCCAGAATGACCAGATGCTTTGAGAGCAATACATCCACAGTAGTAAGAAAGCTAAACACATTCTCCTTACTGCACAGCCTGCAAAAGGAATCTGTGACCAGTGAAAAAGATTCTGAAGTCTTATGTCAGTTCTTAAAGTAACACTCAGGGGTTAAACCTTAAAATTGCATTCAAGTTCTTTAACTATTAACACACATTTATCTTTTTTGTGTATCACTGTAGATCCTCAAATCATCTCTGAATTGGTGCTGACACTGTCCTTCCTTCTGGAGGGTGGCTACTTTTGTTCCCAATAGTCCCTGTGTGTGTTGTAAAGTAGTCACTGCTCCAAGGTTGCTCCTGTGATGGACTGCAATCTCAATACAAATTAGTAAACTAAGGTTTTAGTCCATCATGGAAGCGAGCTTAGAGCGCAGGAGATAGGATCAGGTGAGTATATGTACTGTATTCTGGCCCCTAGACCAAAACGAGCAGTGAACTCTTGAAGTGAGCAGTGAACTCTAGCCCCACTGCAACAGTTAATTTTTTTAAAGCAGAACTCCGTGAAAAAAATCTTACCCACTCACACAACAAGGGTTTACTGCTTGTTTGTGTCTAGATTAAAGAAAAAAAATGTGTATACTCCCCTGACCCTCGGAGACAGATGGTTCTTAGACTGCTCCCTTCCTCCTTGCCCCCCCTCCGTTGCAGCGGTCTAAGGATCCTCGAGTCATCACATTATATGCACAATGTATAGGATGTGAGGGCGTAGAGGAACATACCAACCCTCCAGCAGAGGAAGAGACCGGCTGGAGGAAGTGCTATCACAGCCGTTCAACTCTGCCTGCTCGGGTGCATATAACTTTTTTTTACCTAATGAGCACTTAACCCTTGCAGTTTGGGGAACGTGTGGAGGTAGCCCCACTGCAAGGGTTAAGAATGTTTTTTTCCCCTGGAGTTCTTTAAATGACTGGGGTTCCTCTTTAACTGGATTGATTTAGATCTGACATTTGGGATAAAAAGGATACAGGGCAAAAGGATACAGCTGAGACATACAAAACAATACTATATCTATCAAAAATACACACAAAATAACAATCTGAGAGTTTAAAAAGATACCAAATATTCTAAAGCAAGTCCTCATTCAAGTAAATTCTAATAAAATGTCACTCACATTTACACCTTTTCAAATCAGTAGATTTTATAGAGACCATCACTATTATTAACAGATTAAATCATTTAAAGAAAATATCCCTTTAAATATCTCAGGTTACATTAGTGACTCTCTAAGTAAGTCATCTGGAGGTTTGGCTTTGTGGCCCATAAATAGAAATAGACGGCACACAGGTTAAGCACTGAATTTATAAAACACTTCATTACATACCGCTGTCAAAGTATCTGACGGTAGAATTCCGGGACACGCTCGGATCAAAATTGGCCATCAAGGGAGCAATATATTGTGTTGCTGTGAGCATCCGATGCACGACTTCCCCCGTATAGATAAAACCTGACGAAAAGACACACAAATTATAGCACTTTTCCTGTATCCACTTCAACAGCAGGGAATTAAAAATGCTAACACAAGCTTTGTGTGTTCTTTGCAGGAGCTTACTTATCACTGGCGTGATCTATAATGTGCCACAAATTTGCCAATTAAGGATACTTTATATGTGTGTGGTGGAATTACGGAGATTTGAGCACCACAAAGCAATGGGAATCGCATCTGCTCAGAAGACCAGGAATTGCTCAAAAAACATATGTTATAACATATTGCAGGACTCGTTCTCTACTTTTATGCTGTGTTTGCTGACTGGTTTGCTTTGCATTAATTCCAGCGCATTCGAGTTTTTGTATTTCATTTTATGCTGCTTCAATTACCTTCTTGGAAATCTAAAATATCCCCAGAGTCGTTCATCGCTATCAAGCAGGCTGTCATTATGAGAAACGTAGCTGACAATTTAAGCGCACAGCTCTACCTAGAACAGATTACCCATGTCCGGGTGAGGTGATGCAGGGTTTGATAATTTTTGTCCCTTTTCCTTTGGGACGTTCTCCTAGCAGTTGTCACAATTGTGACAGACGGAGCTTCGTCTATCAGCTGAGCTACTGCTAGGGTTGCCACCTGTCCAGGATTCACCCGGACAGTTCGGGTTTTGAATGCTCTGTTTGGGTTTCATGGCAGCAGAAACCCGGACACAAGATGTCAGGCAGACAGGGGCAACCAAAATTAAGATAGGGGCTACTGGCCCCCCACTGAAAATAGTCTCACCTGTAATTTTTGCATATAAATGGGTGGCGCTATTTAGATATGAATAAGCCACGACTAATTTTCCCCAAAACTTGTCTGCGCGTCTCTAGAGTGTTCGGGTTTCACTTGAAGAAAAGGTGGCAACCCTAGCTACTGCTATCACCGATCTGTGTTTTCCATATATTGGAAGCTATGGAGAACTGACTTTGACGAAGGAACAGCTCAAATCAAAGTTGAACTAAGTCTGTCACAACTTTGCTGGGTGTGGCTGAAGTTTATGAGCACATTTTATATCCTGACGGGACTTCAAAGATCCACATGAAGGGAAGAATTTATCAAAATTTAGGCAGACAGAATGTGGAGCAGCTATGTGCAGTAACCAACCAGCTTCTCTTTTCAGTTATTATACTTTGAAAATGAAAGGTAGACCATGTACAGCTGTTCCAGATTCTGCTGCTCCAGTCTTGATAAATTCCCATCACAGTATGTTTTCATTTCCTACCACAGTGTTTTCTTCTACTGTGCATTGCAGCATGACTACAGAAATAACTACAGCAATTTTTAGGTAATTGATAGGTCGGTGTTCTATCACTTCTCCGGACCCGTGAGATTTCTGGACTTCCGGGTAGTGTACAGGGAGTCCACAAATCTCACATGCTACTGCACATGTGCAGATCCAGAAATTTTACAGACCTATTCGTATAACACAATCCCGTGGTTGCAGGAATTTTGTTGGCCCATATAAGGTAATAAAATATAGACACGCATAAATATATAATACAGTTTTTTATTATTGTCATATATTATTTAGATTTTATTAGTAATTTTATTTTGTGTTTATTAACATTATATGGCAAGAAATGCGGCAATAAAATGTCTGGACACGCGGGATTGTGTTATATGAATGAGCCTATAACATTTCTGGATCCGCACATGGGCAGTAGGATGTGAGATTTGTGGACTCGCTGTACACTACCCGGAAGTCCAGAAATCTCACGGGTCCAGAGAAGTGATAGAACACTGGCATATTTAGTTGATGATATACTGGTGATTCAAAAGTGATATTGGTATTAAAAAGTTTGGTGCACAAACACTTAACATGATGCAGTTTCAAACCAAATATATTTATCTGACCAGCGGTGTCCCTAGCCTCTTTGCCACCTGTGGTGCAGGGGGCAAGGTGTGTCGTGTTGCTGGTGGTGCACGCACGCGGGGGAAGGAGGGTGTTGGTTCTGTATCCCCCCACCCAGGCACTGCATCCTGGGACACTCTGGCCGGCATTCCGCCCAACTGTTACAGCAACAGCAGTGGTGTAACAATAGCCATAGAAGTCCATGTTGCGGCTATAGGGCCTGGGATAGGAGGGGGGCCCAAACAGAGAAATATTTTGCAAAGAAAAAATATTTTGCCATGTTTAAAAAGCACAGTTGTATTTTACAAACAAATGTCATGTGACCAAGATCTCCTCCTGTCATTGAGTGCGATATTCTGAGAGTATTTCTTGATGTATTTTATTCAGCCTATTCTGTGGACACTATTATTTAGTTATAGTGATATTTTTACTATGTGTTTTATCTTACTGCGTAGGTGTCAAACAGTTGTAATGGAGGAAGGAGCACAAGATTTCGGACCACCGGTTCCAAAAGCTTTGCTTACCTTGAGGCCCATGCTGGCTATCAATGCAGTTGTAAGCGTTGCCCACTAGGCTTGCAGCATTATCTTTTGTTATCTAATTTGGGTGTCGGGACCCTTAACCAGCAGCCCAAATTCTACAAGCACCGTTACGGTTACTGGTCACTGAAGCCCCACACAACCAAATTGTCTTCTGATATTTTTGTCAAGGTTTTTCCCTGCGGCATTACAAAAGTTAAATAAAAATTGTGAATTACCTCTTTAATAAAGCTCATATTGTTTTTTTCTAAATAATGTTAAGATCCCGAACCTCCCATCGTTTAACAGGCTGATAGTTCTCCTAATTGCAGCCATTACTTAATTTCATGAAAACGCTGATTAAAAGAGTCTTCAACATTCCCCTTAATAATTCAGCGCTGCGTACAGTTTGCTAACTTTTAATGCAATTTGCAAATGTATTTGTTATGGCTGCGTAAAGTACAAAGTAATTGAAATATAATTCTGAACAATGATTTATAACAGGCTCCGGCACAGAGAAACACCCTAGCTATTTTTTGTATTTAATGTGATAAAAGGGTAAAATGAATGCTCGACGCCTGCTCTTTACATAATATTTAGCCCTGAGTAACACGGGCACATCAGGTTGATTGAAAGTATAATTTAAAGAGTAGTTTATGGGCTGTACGCTTAAAATGGATTTCGGCTAATTAAAGGACAATCCATTGGACATTGACAGTATTTACTTTCATTTGCAAAAAAAAGGTCATTTATGCTGAAAATAATAAGACAAATGATTGGGAATATAATTTTGTTTGCTATGTTAATTTGCAAATCACTCAAGAGCAGTCAACGCTGACATTTTAATAGATGCAGGAGGCTAGACCCCCACCTGTAAAAGGATTTTTATATCTCTATTTTATATCCTTTTATTTACAATCTCTGGGGTATTGCTATTTAAAGCAAATACCTCCCAAACTGCTTTGAGGTTTGATTGGACAGAAGTGGTTTGACGCACTTACGATTCTTGATGTTTCTATCCCACTCTCTGTCATATGGAACATACATTATGAAGGTTCCACCATGAGAATGACAACATCATTTGACTTTGTGGCTGTGGATGTAGGGTGGAACCAGAAAGCTGTGGTAGAGATATCTCCAAAAATGGAGCCCCTCAGCTGCATCAGAAGGCAGCATGTGATTGAATATGCCAACAACTAACCCATAGGTAACAACACAACAAGGTAGGTCTCATTGCTTAATTACTTAATAGATATGCTACTATTCATAAGCATAAGGCTCCATTCACACAGGAACGGCTGTCCACGTGTATTCGGCTGGCCTAATACGTGTGGAGCCGCTCTAAACAGAAAAAGCAATGTACTTTAATGTGCATTGTTCAGACTTTTGAGCCGGCAAAATAGTCCAAACGTGATTTTTTGATGGACTCCGCACTATTAGCGGATATGTAATAGCCGCAAACGAGCGGAATCCGCGTGGATTGAAGATTTTAGCGTTTGCGTTGCCGTGCAGTCTTCCACATGGAAAACGACGCAGGAAACTCAAATGCTATATGCAAATGGAGCCTTAGATGGACTGCAGGCAAACAGCTAAACAAACAATTACATATACGGGAACTGTTTTATCTGTCAAAGGATTTGTTTTTCTGGCCACCCAATTCTGAGATTTGTCTTGCTCCCCCCCCTGTGACTGTGAACGGAGAAGCAGCAGCAGTCTAATGAGCTCTCTCTTGCATGTTTGTTGCACCATCACCATGTTGGTTGCACTACAGCACAACAGATTGACCCCATGTGCTACTTTCCCTCCCTCAATCTGAGCTCTCCTATACGAGATTGCTACTAAATCAAATTCAGGTACTTGCACCTAAACAAAATACACAGAAGGATGTATTAAGTGCTGCATTTATTTGTGCCCTTATAGCTGCGTTGAGTTCAGCTTTAGAGCCCAACTTCAACTTGTTTGTTTTAGATGCACAGGGAAGGGTTAGAACTTCTTTCTGGTTTTATTGGTGTCTATGTCCCCACTGAGGAAATTTCCCCTCACGGCCTGTTTCAGTGACAGCGGTTCACTGGATCAATGGGAAATATCTGCAGCAGGGAAGGAGATAGGGGTTCGGGTTATGGGGACCAAGCCGCTTACAAATTTTCAGCAGCTGTAGATAAAAGGTATAATCAGTGCTCACCAGGGAGGTAAGTATGGGCACTGCCACTGGGTCGCTTTAAATAAAGACCTGGCAATAAATAAAGACCTTTAGTAACCATCTGAACCTTCACTTTGCTCTTTGCCACCATCTCACTGATGGTAATGTTTCCAGTGTGGGAAACAATGCTCTATTTTAGCATAGAGCTTATAGCCACTTGCATTTTCTCTGCAACTGAGGACATTCTTGCCATAGAGATCAGAAATAGGTATACACTATGTCAGATCTGGAGGTATAGCAAAGAAGCTGCTGGACCTCCGTGCTATCTGCATTGTTCCAGATTCTCATCTGTTCTCTGTGAATTGAGCAATTTATCCTGCTTACTGTCTATGCATCTTCCTTTGCTTCAGTATCCCGCCTCTGACAGGCAATACATTTCCTTCCTGGAGATCATATTGACTTTTACCAT